CTGGCAATGATCCGCGATGCTCGTGAAACCGAATTATCCACCAAAAGCAGACAGTCATGTAAATTTAAAACTAATACCGCTTAGTCTCGCAGTTACAATGAATGACGCATGATGAGTTTGTTCAATTGGTTCCGATGACGTGATGCGAGTTCTTTGGTGTACCGTGTCTGTTATGCATCAGATCATTCACCCTTAGTGTCTCCCAGTCCGAAAATTCCGGGATAGTACAATTAGTGATCATATGTTTCAGTGTTTACGAGCTCGATTTTCAAACTGTAGAGCTTAGTTTCTTTACTGTATATCGTGAAATTGGGCACATTGCAAAAACAGCGAGTGCGCTTGATGGCTCTTGATCTATCAGGGCAGGCATTTTATCTCATCGACCAGTATTTATTTTGCCTACTCTATACGCCCCCCCTCCAGATCAAAAATGCATGCTTATTGTTTTAGAATTCCAAACTGGAAAGAATATTGGCCGAATGAAAAAGGAAAATCAGCCTATTGAAAATCACAAGATTGCAAAATAAGCTGAGACAAATCATTCAATATTCTTATCGATCAAGATTCACGTGCACCGTAATTTCCTCTATTATCCTTACTGAGACGCACCTGCCTTAATTTTGGCAAGCATCACTCTGTTCGGTTATCAGAATTTGATATTCATAACTAGATTTTGACCGAATTGCTTTCCTTTCCCACCAGCTAACCAGGTTTCTCTTATCTGTAAGAACTTTTGTTATTGTCATCGAATCTATTTTCGTTAGTAGTGGCAATTACAAAGCTTCTTTATGCGTTCTCCAGCCCGCCTGATTTCGTCCAAGAACCCATTAGGATGGTTTGGATTAGGTTAAGTCACATCGGTATGCAAGACACGGAACATTTAATCCAGCGAAAGAATTAATCACTGAACATTGCTGTACGTCGTTAACTTGTTGCATTTGTCAACTTAAGATTCGTCTGATGGAAGGATATCCGAAGTATAGAGCTTCAAAGGTAGCTACAAACTTGTGGAACGCAAATCAAACACCAATTAAACACTGTTAGGAACCAGAATACGGAGTATCTCCGCGCATTTCCCACAAGGCGGTGTACCAAAATCTAAATCCATTGGGGGCCGTTGTCCAGTTCATTGGATCATACGCCCTTTGAAAGGGGTCAAACATCCAACGTGCCCATAAACCTAGATACCCAATCGAGCCGGTGAACAATACCATCACCAGGAAGGTGTATGCGTGGTTAGTACGCCACTTCTTGGTTGGTTTGGAATCATGGGTTTTTAGCCAACTACCTTAGGTGAACTGCCAGTGGTTCACCGACCCAGTTATAGCCCCGGGATGGAACGAACATCACTGTTGTCATCTGCCACACAGATGTAAACTAGTTTAAAACAGCTGCATCAATACAGTCATATCTCCTGAGCTCATTTCACTTTACCTTGGAGTATTTTATACGAAACGGACTAAGATATCTCACTTTTATTCTATGAAGGCTTATCCGTCAAGCCGTGTCAGCGTGTCACTACTGGAACGCCTCAGAGATACTATGCACAATTAAAGTGCTCGGCTGTTTTTGTTTATCTATTCGTCAACAATCACCATCTTGTCCTTGTGTCCCCCAGTTATCTTAATTTAACTTATCCACCAAAACGATTCAGATGGTTCGTGAGGTTCAGTTTCAGTTTAAACAACCGTGAGGTTGAAATCAGAAAGAACTTGAGATGATAAAATTGCATTTTGAAGGAAGGATACTTCTGATACGAAGTTTTTCTTGCAGTTTTATTGTTGAATAAGGATACATATGACAAGTCTTTCTTCGAGTTTCACTGTCTGGGAGATTGGAAGAAAGTTTCGAAAGGATGCGAAGCATTAGTGGAGTTCAAATACACTCGCAGAGGCCATATACTGCTTTCT